GGGTATTCGAACTGAGACACTACGTGGGGTATTCCAACTGAGACACTACGTGGGGTATTCCAACTGAGACACTACGTGGGGTATTCCAACTGAGACACTACGTGGGGTATTCCAACTGAGACACTACGTTGTGTATTCCAACTGAGTCACTACGTTGGGTATTCGAACTGAGACACTACGTGGGGTATGCGAACTGAGACACTACGTGGGATATTCGAACTGTGACACACACTCACGCATTTTTCACTAACGATACTAAATTTTTCATTACGGATTTTCTAAACAGTTGGAAAAATAAGATTAAAAAAAAAATTTGATGCAGTGGTTAGTAGTAGTACACATAATAATATTGTGTGTTCATCAAACCAGTTATAACAGGTAGTTTAAGTTGTAACCCACAACGCATAAGCAATACATTCTTAACTGATCCACACGCAAAGATCAGAATAACATATTTTTTCCAAGAAAAAACCAACAACACCAGCTGTTAAAATCTTTTAAGAGCAGTCATGGCCGCTCGGATTTTGTTAAAACAGTTCGCTAAATGAATTTGACCGATTTTAATAGTCAGTCACCAAACTGTGACCTGGCGATCTGCACGAACGCAAAACTGTTAATTGATATCTATAACATTGGGGCTCTTACCTGCTTACCTGCCACTTGGGTGTCCCTGAAATGGTCGGTGGACTTCCTTTGTCATTTTTAATATATTGATTTAAAAACCTTATTGTTATAAGAATTGGTCCGTGGAATTCATCTGACTGAAAACAATGGATCAGTGGCTAAAAAAAGAAACCGTTATAGCTGAATAAAGGTGACTAGGGGACCACTTGCAAGATGAACACGTATTTAGCGTAACGAGGCAGACATCGATACTTGGAACCGTTCCGTGTGGTTAAATACGCGAAGCGATTACTTTTCATTACATAATACGGTATTAGTTTATTAATTTAAAAAAATCTTTTATTTACATAATGATATTTTTTTAAGAGTCTTTTTTTTTGTTGAAAATAACACATGCACGTAATTTTTTTATTAAAAAAAAATATAATTCTGGTTATCGTTTAATATCCTAAACTGAAAACATTTTTTGATAGTCTTTGTTGTGTAACCGAACTTTAGATCGAACAATGCATATTTGATTGGTGTTACCGAAACAATACTCGAACAATACCCCCCAAATACCCAAGCAATAGTAAACAATTACCCACAATGCATACAAATGCACATTTAAATTTGTGATCAAATCGCCAACACAGACCTTTCAGAAATTTGCAGTAATTTTAAGGTGTTTCAAAGAATCACCCAGTTTGTCATCTTACAATTATTCATATAAACCAACCCCTAAAAACATAGTTTACCGTATAAATCCATCATAAGCATTTTGGTTAGACCTTATGTAATTGTATTAGTGAGTTATCATTTATTAAGAAGCGGTTACGTAAATATGTAAACTTCTGGCGAAAAAAACAACACATTTCAGATTTCCTTCATTTGCCTCTTCAGAAAGACATTTTATTTTTACCGCACAGCCAAATACGTCCCAAATACAGAGCACATTTTTACTGCAATGGCTTTCGTTGAGGGAGTGAAGCGGTAAATAACTAATAAAGGGTTCAATTGGATTAACTTTCTTGCATCTTCGGCACAACAAGTATTCTGAAAAAAAAAAGAGGAACACCTGATTTTTGGGAGGTTGGTGTGGGGCTTAAAGTTTGAAAGAATGTGTTGTCATCGGTGACGATACTGTGTGCCAAGCTTCAGCTTGATAAGATGACAGGAAGAGAGTCGCATAGGCTTTCGAAGATTTCGTCACAAAGTAACAAGCAAAAGCCAAGTCAAAAAGAGCTCACTACGCGTGTCATGTTTCTACTGAAGCACTACAGCTAAGAGAGAGACCTAGAACCCTTGTAGAACTTCCCAGCTGAGAGAATCCAAGAACCTCTGTAGAACTTGCCAGCTGAGAAATCCTAGAACCTCTATAGAACTTCCCAGCTGAGAGAATCCTAGAACCTCTGTAGAACTTGCCAGCTGAGAAATCATAGAACCTCTGTAGAACTTCCCAGCTGAGAGAATCCTAGAACCTCTGAAGAACTTCCCAGCTGAGACACTCCTAGAACCTCTGTAGAACTTCCCAGCTGAGAGAATCCTAGAACCTCTGAAGAACTTCCCAGCTGAGAGAATCCTAGAACCTCTGTAGAACTTCCCAGCTGAGAGAATCCTAGAACCTCTGAAGAACTTCCCAGCTGAGACACTCCTAGAACCTCTGTAGAACTTCCCAGCTGAGAGAATCCTAGAACCTCTGAAGAACTTCCCAGCTGAGAGAATCCTAGAACCTCTGTAGAACTTCCCAGATGAGAGAATCCTAGAACCTCTGAAGAACTTCCCAGCTGAGAGAATCCTAGAACCTCTGTAGAACTTCCCAGCTGAGAGAATCCTAGAACCTCTGTAGAACTTCCCAGCTGAGAGAATCCTAGAACCTCTGTAGAACTTCCCAGCTGAGAGAATCCTAGAACCTCTGAAGAACTTCCCAGCTGAGAGAATCCTAGAACCTCTGTAGAACTTCCCAGATGAGAGAATCCTAGAACCTCTGAAGAACTTCCCAGCTGAGAGAATCCTAGAACCTCTGTAGAACTTCCCAGCTGAGAGAATCCTAGAACCTCTGTAGAACTTCCCAGCTGAGAGAATCCTATAACCTCTGTAGAACTTCCCAGCTGAGAGAATCCTAGAACCTCTGTAGAACTTCCCAGCTGAGACACTCCTAGAACCTCTGTAGAACTTCCCAGCTGAGACACTCCTAGAACCTCTTAACAATGTGTTACAGCTCTTGATTTAAAAGTTTATGACGTAGTCAAGAGCCACTCACCGAGTTTTTCCTTTTGTTCTTTTTAAAAAAATGTTTTTATTATTTTCTCCCTCTTTTAACGAATATAATCTATTATTTTCTCCCTCTTTTAACGAATATAATCTATTATTTTCTCCCTCTTTTAACGAATATAATCTATTATTTTCTCCCTCTTTTAACGAATATAATCTATTATTTTCTCCCGCTTTTAACGAATATAATCTATTATTTTCTCCCTCTTTTAACGAATATAATCTATTATTTTCTCCCTCTTTTAACGAATATAATCTATTATTTTCTCCCTCTTTTAACGAATATAATCTATTATTTTCTCCCTCTTTTAACGAATATAATCTATTTCAACGACAAACGATTAAAACAAGATTGATTTTTTTTTTTTGAGTTCCCCGACAGCTGATCGCGATAAGGAGTCTAAGTTCCCCGACAGCTGATCGCGATAAGGAGTCTAACCTCAAAGCTCAACTAGTATAATAAACACTCCTGTTCAACCTGTTCATTCCGGCCTTGTTTCAGCGAATTCTAAAAAAATCGAAAGTGATCTCCACATTTATGTTTTATATTTGGTCAATATCGAGGCACGTTATTTGTAAACAGCAAATTTGTTGACAGGCCCCAGCTTTTGAAAAATCTAAATATATTTTTTTGTGAAGATCTGACAGAGAAAACACACTGTTTGATCGCTTCTGCTGCTGCAATAGTTATGAGTTCCTCTTAGCTAACACTGATTGGCGACGTCTTCTGTTGCTAGTTAAGTTTTCTGTTAAGCTTCCCATGTACAGCGTAAGCAATGCGTTGCTTGTAACAATGACAACAGCACCCACATGGGCGCCCTCAGAAAACTTTCTAGGGGGGGGGGCAAAAAAAATCGATTAAGTTTCTAGGGGGTAGGGCAAAAAAATTTTAAGTAATGTTTTAATGTAGTTTTAATTTACTGGAGCGTATTTGTATGGTGAACGAACGGACAGGACACCAGCTTAGTTACTCTCTCTTTATTTTCTCTTTACTTTAATACATTTTTTGTCTATTTTTGTCTAAAAAATTTTTTATCCAATCAATCCAGGGGGGTGGGGGGCAAGTGCCCCCTTGCTCACCCCCCCCCCTGCGGGCGCCCATGAGCACCAACCTGTTGGCTCCTCCTGGCCGTCATCTTGTGGTGGCTTTTTGTCTGTATGCGGTTTGGACTCCACATAATCATATCGCGCCAGTAAATAAAGTCCGGGCTAATGCCTATCTTTACATTACTAGTATTATTTCCCTTTAGTTCACAAAGCTCCATTTCAAAGGGCTTGTTCTTTAAATTGTCTTCTGTCTAAAACACGGTAGACGGAGCGGGGGGGGGGTAAGATGGCATTTCTCAGGGGGGTGGGGGGTGATGATACACTATATGTAATCACTAGTGTAATCAAGATGGCGGATGTGAACATATGTTTGTTGATCCCTACTGTAACAGACCATGTTGCTTATGCATCTGACATGGATTTTTCGCACGACGCTAATATTAATTTGTTCACACGGTACGATAGTGTAGTGATTTGAAGGAAAGGAAAGAAAACACGAGAAAAAGGAACTATTTTTTATAGCGTAGGGAGAATTCGTGTTCTGAGTAGAGCGAAGGGCACGACATTACCTTATTTTAAATTGTCTTAGCTAATGCTTAAGATAATCCAATTGTCATCATTGAAGTTGGTTTTCAAACATGTGTATTTAGTATTCGAGGAGAAAGGTTTTCATTTACTTTATAAACATACAAAAACATAATACTCTGAAAATAACACATGTATCTTCATATGTTGAAAGGGATCTACATTTCAAAAAGAACGATTCGCCGTTGGACAGCTTTTTATTTATTTAAGTTTATTGTTGATAAATGAAAGAAAATTAAGTTTTTATTTAACACAACAAATTATTCCCCCCTCTCTCTCTCTCTCTCTCTCTCACTCTCTCTCTCTCTGTCTCTATCTCTCCCTCTCTCTCTAAAGCTCACTCTCTCTCTCTCTCTCTCTTTCTCTCTGGGTGTGTATAAACATTTATTTAAGCAGGTCACTTGCAAAAACCTGCAAAAATAGACTATTTACAGCACAAAATGAGTAATTTCCCCTTGCAATTCTAAGATGTGTCAATCGACCTTATGTTTCTTTTATGTTAATCAAACACCGTCTCCACATAGAGTACAAATATATGTGTGTATATATATACAAGTGTCTTTGCTCAAGTATGAAGTGAAGTTTACCAAAAGCATCTAAGAATACTATCTGATAAACACAACAAATAAATTGAGCATACGTGAAACAATGTTTTCGCTGAAATTAGCTATTTATCTCTTCACTTAACAACTGCATTTTTAAATTAAATGCTTGAACATGTTTTAAATGTACTTTTGAAGTTATAATAAATGAAGGACTGCGTTCAAGCTGTGTGACGTAAATAGAGGAACACAGTTTGTGGCAGTTTCAAATAGAAAGACAGGACAGTAAAAGAATAACGTTTCGACGGAAAGCCTTCCTCAGCAGACGTGACAAATGAGATGTGCTTTATATTTCTTTATAAAAATTGGTTGGCATTTAATGTTTGTTTCAATTATCTTAAGACCCTGAGCCCGATTCACGTAAGAGTCAATTTTTCTGGTTGTGTGGGTAAATGTCAAAGTAAAAAAAAAAACAAATTGTGAGAAAAAAAAAGCCATACATATGATTGAATTAATGGCAAAGTTAAGGGCGAGAAAACCGCCAACACGATACTACACGATACGTTTCCTAAATACTCCAGTTCTCAGGTCTTATTCATTTATTGAAAGAAGAAGGTGTGCAGGCTCGTCACAACTACGAGTGGAAGTAGGGTAAATGGCCCCGCAGTGAGAACCTCCATTCCATTGGCACCACCACCACCAGCTCCAGACCCGCCGCTTGAACCTGTCAGGATAGTCAAAGAGAAAAACTGAACAACCTTCACTTTCACCAATCTCATTGGTGGGAAACCATTTACTGTGAACATTGAGTTACAACATTGCTTTATTCGAAAGAAAAAAAAAGTTTGGGGGGGAGGGGGGGGGATGGGAGGAATACACATTTCTCTCCTGAAAAAAACTTCCAGATGCAAAAAAAAAAAATAATAATAATAAAAAGTGATTTTTGTATTTGCATTTAAAGTATGTTCCATACATTGCTTTATTCGAAAGAAAAAAAAAGTTTGGGGGGGAGGGGGGGGGATGGGAGGAATACACATTTCTCTCCTGAAAAAAACTTCCAGATGCAAAAAAAAAAAAAATAATAATAATAAAAAGTGATTTTTGTATTTGCATTTAAAGTATGTTCCATCTCTGTACATCTATGAGCATCTGATGGAAGTTCATTTCTGTCTGAATGAGAACATAATGCCGTCTGAGAAGTTGAAGAGTAAACCACTAGCATTGCCAGATACATTTGATCGAGATCCCTCAGTTGCAATACACCGATGAGCAGTCAGGAAATGTTAGACATTTGCTAGTAGGTTTTTTAAATAAATATTTTAAAAAGATTAAATTTTTATGTTGGTAAACTATCTTTAATTAAAATTCAGTAAAAAAAAGTTCAGTATAACATTTAAAAAAAAAAAAATATTCTTAGCAAGTATCTTTGAAGTAATTTGCTTTGCCAGAAACATTGACTCAACACACACTTGTAATCTCCAATTATAATTAATAAGTGAAAAAAAAATATGTCGGTAATAGGTTTACCTTGTGAGGTCAAAAGAAATGATGACGTCTCGGTCTTCCCTGTTCCAATAATAGAATAATAAGCCGTACATTTACAGGGAATCCACTTATCCACCACACTTGTGGTAAACGTGAATGTCGCACCGAAGTTTAATACGCTGCTAGACGTCGGCAACAGGTTGCCTGGTACCCTGCAAGAGAACTCAATTTTTTGGACTAGTTCTGACGCCCAACATGTAAAGTCTTCTTTAATGCCTCTATTTCCTTGGAGATTGACTTTAAGACTGTAGCCGTCCGGTATGATACTTCCTTTCCACATCACTGTCACTGGAGCTGTCAGACAGAGGGTCGAACATGCACAGGTTAAGACTGTTATGTAATAGTCATTAAATAATTAGGTTAAGGTTGATACAAAGAGTATGTTGTATGTTTAAGCCAAGCCTGCTATTCATACGGTTGTAGTGTTAAGGTTTTGAAATAGACTCATAATATCAAGATGTTTTTTTTTAAATATCCTCATTGCATTTGTAAAAAAAATATTTTCAATACAAGTTTAACGTTGTAATGTTGGACCATCTTGCGTAAAAACCAACAAGCATTTGAGGATTCAATCAGTGGAAAAAACAAACCCCTAAGAACAAAGAAGTTCGTATAGACTGTTTATATGTAGTTTTGTTCCAGTTTATGTTATTGTACGTGATTTATTATTTATTAAGAAGCGGTTATGCAAATGAGTAAACTTCTTGCGAAAACACGTTTCATATTTCCATTCAACAATGCGTTTTTATTTTGAATGCATACCCAAATACGTGGAAAAGCCACAGCTAAACAAACAGCCATTGAACAAATCGTAAACATTCCTCCGTTAAAAAATATTTTTAAAATTTTTTATTTTGTGGTTTGGGGTGAGGGTTGAGGCTAAAAATGTGAGGGATTGTGTGGTCATTGGCAACGAATCCTAGTGCAAAGTTTCAGCTCCGTAGGCTGACTGGAAATTGTTCGATTAGCCGTCCGAGAATTTTACCAGCCAGCCAGGAAAAAAAATTCGAAGGTAATAGAAAGGATTTTAAAATATATTGTTTTATGTGTGTGATATCTTACACAGACCAGCTCCAGAGCCGTATCAGGTTATAGGTAGAAGAAAGTTTTGTTTCATACTTTCAACACACACACACACACACATATATATATATATATATATATATGTGTGATATCTTACACAGACCAGCTCCAGAGCCGTATCAGGTTATAGGTAGAAGAAAGTTTTGTTTCATACTTTCAACACACACACACACACACATATATATATATATATATATATATATATATATATATATATATATATATATATATATATATATATATGGCATCTTTCCATCTTTGTGAGACGATGCAGTAGATTATTGAACGTCCTCAAAAGACTAAAAAGCTGATCATGGAATTACTGAGAGTCTCTGCATGACTTCTCGCATGAGAAACTTGATTACTCGCATTCCCTGCTTTACTTCTCGAAGGAGAATCTTGATTGCTCCTAGAGTCGCCTAGCAAATCTCGCAGGAGAAACTTGATTTCTCAAAGATTTTACTGCACTTCTTGCCAGAGGACCTTGGTTTTCTTTGGCTTTCCACAATGCTACCTGTTTTTGCAAAGAACGTCATTCCCTTTGTGAAATTGTTTACTTTTCTTTCTAATTGGAGACGATCATAGTAGTGTTCAATAATTTAAACGCTATAGCTTTAAAAATGACTTCTTTCTGTCTCCATCCACATTGAGAACTCCCAGTAAGGACTGTGTTGAAGAGCGTAGGCTCTGTACGGATACATGTGCAGAAATCAGTTTTTTAAAAGATATTCAGGTGCAGAACCTTCTATACAGCTGTGCTCAATGCGATCACTCACAATGAAGCCAATGGAGATCTGTAAGAACTGTGGTGATGTCGTCAGATTTCTTTAAACGCGATGCAATGCGTGGTGCAGTAGTTTGTACCTTCTGGACATAGCAACCCGTTTACATTAAGTGTCACGATAAACAAAATCTGTCTGTTTTCTAACACGACAATGTGAACCATTTTAAAAGTGTTAAGATGTTGGTCTTCACTGTGAATTTTTTTAATAAATTGAATAGACCAAGGTAAGAGGCAATTCTTTAGATGTCAAACATGTGTGTATCCGATGGCTCCCTGTGGCAAGCGTATTGGCCGTCGTGTTGCTGTGAGATAATTTAATTACAGGCCTGAGCGTTTAACTTAAGAATTTAAATGCAACGTACGTGTAACCTTGACAACGAAGCTAGAGGTCAATGTGTAGCGTCCTGAGACGTGACCGGCACTGCAAACACATCGCTCGCCGTTCCATGCAGAGTTGAAGGTAAAGTAGTAAGCGGCTTCGTTGTCCTTATCAAAGGTAACGATATGATTGTTACAAGTCAGAGTAATGTTGGACACCAGTGGGTAGCCGTCATACACCCCATAAGACAAGATGATTGTTTTGTTAGTGCGAAGTTCCAAGTCGATATTCAAAGTGTCTCCATTGGCCAAGGTCTCATTCCCATTCCATACAGTCGGTGCCAACCTCGGCACATACGGGACAACTGGTGAAGACAAAAGGTCACATCAGGTTTATACTTAAACTTTCTCTGCAAGAAAAAGTTAAATGCATTTTTATACTCAGAATAAAATGTATATTATTCACAAACTAACTCTATTCGTCTAAGCATCGACCGTGTACACCAGTGTTTCATCTTGGTGACAATGTGTACAACCTTAACTATAATTGAAATATAACAAATTCTCAGGTTCTCAACTTCCATCTTTTTGTTCCTCGTTAGTTAGCTGTTCAACTGGCAAAAAAGAAGAACAAATCCTGGATAGGTTTATTTGTTGTTGTTTGTGTGTGTGTAAATTAGTAGGTTTAAAAATGATGCCACCTTGTTTTGACATAACACATCACCAGGGTTTCTTTGAGATATAGCTCCCCGGGAGGGGGGGGCATTCCCACCGGGTAAATTCCCCCCCGGAACAAAAATATGTACAACAATAAAACAAAGGACATTTTATTTTCAAAAAATAGCCTAATAAATTGTCATTTTTTAAAACAATTTTAAAAAGAAATTTAGCTGGTGTCATTAACCGATTACAATTAGTGGAATATATGAAATATCGCTACGCTCGATATATTTTGATGATCCATATAGTTAAAGCGAATTTTTGTAGAAGCTTACAATATTTGATACTAAATATCGCAATGTTTCGAAAATTCGCCGATTATGAGCTGAAGTATTACTTCCCGTTCGCTTTTATCTGTATTTTTTGGTTTAATTATTTTGTGCAAACTAACCAGCTTCAAGAATTTAATAACACTGTATTAAACTAGATTTGCTTCAATTGTAAGGTCTATAATTTATTTAATAGAGTTCTTACTAAATATAAAACGTGAGCAATCTTTTCATGTTTTCAAATTATATTTTATCATAAAAGCATGACTTTTAAACTAGGGAATGGTGTTAACAGCCGATCTTGAAAGGAAAATAAAGGTGATGGAGATGAGAGGCTTCAGAAGCATTTTTGGCATCTGCTATAGGGACCATATCTCCAATGATACAGTGAAAGAAAGGGTTCGTCAGGACATTGGGGAGTACGATGACCTACTGGTGACTGTGGAAAAACGCAAATTACAATGGTACGGCCACGTAACAAGGAAACAAGGGCTTGCCAAAGAAATATTGCAGGGCACCACACGAGGAGGGAGAAGAAGAGGAAGACAAAGAAAAAGGTGGGAGGATAACATCAAAGAGTGGACAGGACTAACACTGGGCGATGCAGTGCGTAGTGCTGAAGACAGAGAGGAATGGAGGAGGATGGTTCACATGTCATCTGTGGCGCCCCAACGGTCCAAGGACTAAGGGACATGAGGATGAGGATTAGTCCCTCACTCATTCAGTTATCGGCCTTAGTTCTTACGCTTAACAGTCGGACGGTGCTGTTTAACTGTCGGATTTCCCACGTTAACCGTCGAACTTGTTGTCGAACTCCCATTCTAACCATCAGAATTCAATGTCTAATAGTCAAACTTGCAGTTTAACCGTTGAACTCCCAGTCTAACCATTGGGACTCAATGTCTAACCATCGAACTCGTAGTCTAACCGTCGAATGTCCGGTCTAAACTTCGTATCCCCCATTCTAACCGTCATATCTCCTAGTCTAACCACTGAATCGTTCATCCGAACAGTCATATATTGCAGTCTATCTGTTTCCTTTTTTTTCCGAACCAAGGAGAGATATAAAATTCTTACCTCCCTCAAATTGTTTGAACACAAAATTCGTAAAATGGGATGTTGCAGTTCAACTATTCCACCTTGAATACAACAATGGTTCTAATAATTTTCCAACAAAGGCACTCCAAAGCATTGATAACATGGCCTTGATCTTAAGCGTTGGGTAAAGATACATAAACGACGGTTCAGAAACTCGGCAGAAATATGGGTCTAACATCTAAACCTTTGTTATTTTTATAGCATTGCAACCCACTGGGCTCATGGTTCTCTCTACAAGTAATTGTTTCGCATCGAATTGATATAAGTTTTGAAGTAATGTACGGTTTTGTCTTTCAATTTTAAAAAAAAAAAATTCTCCCTGATCTTGTACAGAATCAGATATTGAACACTATTTGGTTTGTGGTATTCGGTTTGTGGTATTTGGTTTGTGGTATTTGGTTTGTGGTATTTGGTTTGTGGTATTTGGTTTGTGGTATTTGGTTTGTGGTATTTGGTTTGTGGTATTTGATTTTGATGTAATTACGTGCAGTGCTGACACACTCCGGGGTAGAATTTTTGTCACTTTTTCTTTTTAAAGTTCCAGCAAATGATATGGCTGATAAACGCCAGGAAACCGCACCAGACATCGGTAGGGATACAAATAATCAGGGGTTCTTAAGCTGTTGACACCTCTGCTGGAAAGTCTCTGCTATTGAACCATGCGTTAAAAGAAAAATTCTTAAACGTCTCTGCTCCAGAACTATGCCTCAAAAGTATGTTATTGTCATGTTGACGTCCAAGATGAGACAAAAGGTAAATGTCTGTTTATTATTTATATCTATATTATTTCTTGAATGCTCCTTGGGGCAGGCTCTCCTAAATGAGAACCCTCGGCAAAGTTGTTTAAAAATGAGGAGTATAAATACCACCGTCCGATTCTAATATCTCCGCCATCTTGACTTATTATCTAATAAAAAGAAAGGAAAAAAAAATCTATGATCAACTTAACCATCCCCCCTAAAATATACAGATGAAAATGAAAAGCCAATTGGGCTGATAAATACTAAAATAATGGCTCTGGCTTGAGTCATCCACGAATCAAAGGATGTTTGTACTCAGCCACTACAAAAGAGCCGTGTTTACACGCGAGATCAGAGCAGGAGGACGAGGCTTGGTGGCGAGGGGGGGGGGAACAGGGCCCTGACATTGTTAGTGTTTCAATGTAAACACCCGGGCTACGTCATCCGAGCACCAGTGCCACTGCAGTAGCCCCTTTAATAAGGCCCGATAAACACGGGAACGTCTCGCAGTCAATACAATCGGAACTGTTCAAATTAAGGCACACGCCGATCAAGCACTGCGATGGTAGGATGCAGTGGCGTAGCTAGGAGGTTGCGGCGGAGGGAGTGCGGACCGCACATGGTGACACCAACACTAGCTACGCCTCTGGAGGTAATTAAAACTGTTCATCTCTTTAAGTCCAACCTAACCAACCAACTTCTCCTCTGTTCCTATTGTGGCTTTTAAGGTCATCAAAATAAGTGCTCAAAATAATTTTAAGATTTGAAGGTTTACACTGACATGGGATCAGTGTACATTAGTGTTTGGTAAGCAACCCTGATCTCTTAAAAAGATGCCACTGTCTTTGTTGTTGAAATTTTGACGTTTATTTCTCTACTAGACATATCCCGCCAAACATTGATGGCAGCAATTCGTAAACTTCCCATCTACTAAAGTTACTTGACAAAATATGAACTCAAGTAAAGCACATTTAAGAATCCCAATTTTTGCTACACTCTTACCCCATGATACGTCACTGCACACTTTTTATTTCACGCCCATGAATTATATTCAATATTCTGATGTCCCAACCACTTTTAAACCGAATATTTTTTTACACCAAATTGGGACGATTTCATTTTCCGAAAAGAAAATATTACGCGCCAAACGCAGTTGCGTTATGTATATATATTTCTTTCACAGTCCTAAACTACTTTTTCCCCCTCTAAACATGACCTTAAATTACACAGTCTAAATTATCACTAATTATATCGCTTTTGTCATTTAAGAAGTTAATTGAGAGAAAATTACTACGTTAGAGAAATACTTTAGATCTACCCATTTTCGTGCCCTTGAATTAAAACTTTTTTCTCTAAAAATTGTTTAAAAAAACTTACCTTAAATTTACTCCAAAAACTCTAAAAATGATATACAAATATTTTATATTATAGGAATTCGATATAATTGATATCCTCAGCAAAAATTTAAACACATTTTTCCCTTTTTAAAAAAAAACTAAATATCAGAAAACCGTAAAACAAAGAATTCTTTTATCTAAAGAAGCATCGTGCCTACGTTGTTCACGTCTATAACAGATTTGAGTCTTGTTGTTTTTTTAATTTAAATGGTTAATCTCATAAAATACTCATCTCTTTAATTTTTGCAAAGAAAAACAAAAATATATTTTAAGTTTTTTAAAGTAAATATTAGCCCATCTCTTTTTTTCAAAATAAATTTTTCAAGTGTGTAAAATGATTGGGTTTTGATATTCATGGGTATACTTCTATAAATTTACCCAAGATTTGTTAACGCCATTGATTTTCTTAATTGGTAAACATAATATGTATATTTGTAAAAAGAGAATATAACATCTCTTTTTTCACATATGTAATACCATAGGAGTTAACTATGTTGTCATCCACGTGAAAATGTACACATCTTGTTTCCTACCTCCGACATATATTTACCCAAGAAGGTTAATTATTTATCAAAGTCATTCCTTTATTTTGAGACGTATCTTGTGCTGCCCTGGGGCAAAGTAACGAACCCCTCCCCCACCCAGATTTAAATAAATCTAGAAAAATCTTCCACCGGATTGTAGTCCCTTCCATACCCAAACTAAAATAATTTGCACTTCATATGGTCCTTTTTTTTTTTTTTTGTTTTAATTNATAAGTGAATTAGTCAATGCTATTTCGCTATGAAGTTACGCTGCACTGTTTGGCTTCAATCGCATTTTTTTATTAGAATTATTTTTAAAGGTTAGTTTTTATTACGGTATAATTTTAATAAAGGTATATTTTTTAAGAAAAAAAAAAAAGGCAAAAATTCTTAAATGCTAAAATATACACATGTGAAATGTGTAGTCGTTTTATTATCAATTTCAAAAGCAATCGATTTTATTTATTAATTTTACTTTTAAGAAGGGAAAATTATTTTCAGTTTTGTCAAGCATGGTTATTATATTTAAAGAAACCTAAGAGTTTTGAAGAAATAGCCTATTCGAACTATGACGTCATTTGCGTGATTATTTAGAACAAATTAATTTCGCAATATTAACA